GCTTCCCATTAGTCTTCCTCAGACTCGGTCTTTCTTACTGACACCTCTTGTATTTCAATATCAAATTCATGGGACTTTTCCTTGTCGTCCAGTTTTCTAAATTCTTCCAAACTGGGATAGATGGTTGATCTGTCTGGGCCATTTTACTGCCAGGGCACTGGGGAACCCACGGGGCCTGGCAGGCGTGGTAATGCTGTGTTAAAACTGGTGTTTCCTCATCAGTTCCTGCTTTTCCCACTCCATGTGTTTACAACCACTGAAATGTTTCCACTCTGTTTGGCTACACTAGTTTTCTCCTCATTGACTCCCCTTCCTTTCTCCCTTTCTACAGAATCGTTCTAATTCTCCCAGCACTAAAGGAAGTTGGGACGGTAAATCGGGTACAGTTTCCTGCACTGTTTCTCTCCCCCCACCCCCCCCAGTAGCAGAGTCACAGGGGAGGGACATTGGGTGCACTCTCATATCTTTCATCGTGGAGAGCATCCTGGGGACCATGGTGCCAATCCGGCAGGCTGGCGTTTACGGCATCTTAGCTGCTTCACCTCAGTGTCCCATCTTGCGTTTAATAGGGGAGTTAGATACCCACCGTGTGTTGTTGCCCTTAACCTTCCCTAAACGACTGGATGTTCTCCCATCTCCAATGTTCACTTTAGGTGTGTGTCATAGACAATGGCCAGTGGGCTCATATATTAACTCAAACATGCTTCTCCATGAAGCTGCATCAAGAGTTAGGGAAACAGTCTCAGAGCTCACTATCCTGCACTTACCGACAAAGTAGGCAAGCCCTCTAACCATACAACCACCGATCTCTATGCTTCATGATTTTGCCCTCTGCCAGCCTGTATCACCTTCTTTGTGGCAAGAGGATGGAAAGATATAATTGTTATCTTAAATTGGAAGAATTTCCTCCCAAAGAACTCCTGTTTTCTCCCAGCTTCTCCTGTGTCTCTGAGAGTGAGCAGGACACCTTACTTCACAGTCACTCTGTCCCTGTGTCAGCACTAAACACCTAGCTTTACTGAAGCCTGAAGCTAACCGCCTGTGGCACACAGTGTGTGTGTGTGTGTGTGTGTGTGTGTGTGTGTGTGTGTGTGTGTAGAGGATAAGGTTGTTTCTTTTCTGTTGGGTTGTTCTTTCTAATAGGTTCATATAAAGGTTATAAAGTCCATCTATCCATATTGTCTTTCTCTGTGAAAGTACAAACAGTCATAAAACAGAACACTACCGTTCAGTTTTGTAATCTTAAATTTCAAACAACGCACTGATGAATTATTTATGTTATAGAATGTGTTTTCAATAATGTGTAGCATAAAATGGGATGAGTGCTTATCCATACGTGCCCTGAACTTTCTAAAGTGCATGCTAACGAGCAGGGTCACCCAGCGTCACTGTGGCCTGGTAATGTGCAAGGCAAGCGCTCCTCCTCTTGCTCCCGGTTTCTGCATTACGTTCGCCAGCAGTCAGCTCGCTGCTTCGACTGTGGAGCCTCGCAGTAACACTCTTTGACTCCAGGCTGCCTCATGGTGCTTTTCTCTCAGCATAACCGACACTGGGCTCTATAAATTTTATTTGTCGTTCTGGCTTCCAGCCATACTAACTTAGGCTTTAATTCATAATTAGTAGGAAGTCACAATTCCATAGAAAAGAGAACATTTTATATTAAATGGCCATTATCTAACATCATGATTTCACAAAATGATTAAGATGCTAGAAAATAAGTAAGCTACCTTAAGGTTTCCAATACTTAAAGTGCAGGCATAGGGAGGAGGGGTGATAATTTTGTTTTAATCTCTGTATATAGTTCCTGCTACAATGACAAAAAGAAAAATTCTTTTTTTTAATTTTATTTTTATAGTTGTACAAATGATCAGATTTGCCCATATTTGCTTTCTATATCAAAATCTCTGAGATCATATGCATTGCTTGCATATCTTGTGACAATCTTTAACACAAATTTCCAAACAACAATAGTAAAAAGCCAAGAGTAGATAGCTCATGAACCTTGAATGGTGGGTCTTGTTGAAGAAGATTGGGTAACTTTTGGAAGTCAGTTTCTGTTCATGATAATATCTTTGTGTGAAGACTTAACTCAGGACTGAGAGGCAGGAGAAAAAATGATGCAAGTCCACAGTCCCTCATCCAAAACTCTCGGAACCAAATGTTTTTCAGAATTCACAGGGTGTGTTTTTTTTTATAATTTCATAGATGTGTTCTTTTTTAAAATATATTTTTATTGATTTCAGAAAAGAAGGAAGAGGGAGAAAGAGATGGAAACATCAATGGTAAGAAAGAATCATTGATCGGCTGCCTCCTGCGTGCCCCCCACTGTGGACTGAGCCTGAAACCCAGGCATGTGCCCTGACTGGGAACCAAACTGTGACCTGGTTCATAGGTTGACGCTCAACCACTGAGCCACGGCAGCTGGGCAGGTCCACTTTTTAAAGCCCCAACACAATAGGTGATACTGACTTCGTAAATCTGGAGGTTGGGACCACAAAATTGGTATAGAGATAGGAGTCAAAATTTTGAGCCAACAGTTTCAGTTTAACTGTCTCTATAGAACTGATAGCATTAGGAAGGCAGAAGAGAACTCACAGCAGCTCTAACTTCTCCAATCCCCACACCAGAACGACGCCTGAGCTTCACACCTGCTCATAGACTGTGGACACTGTTTGGCATGGACATCAGAAAAAAACTACCGATCACACAGGGTCACTGATAGACGCCTGTATTTAATGTCTCTGAAAGGAAGGTAGATACTAGATCTTTGTGAACCTGGCTAGTTTATGGCAGGATAAAAGCAAACCTAATTTGAGCTACTTTATCTGAGATTTCCTAAAACCTTCACTGTGTCTTCCGTTTTATTTGCTTATTGAACAAGTTATGTCGACATTATCTGTGTGAATGTGGTAGAAAGGAAGTTCAAGAAAGGCATTCTGTAAAGGAAATGTTTTCAAGCAAATTGTCCTTAAATCAACACTAATTGCCAAATACTGACTTTTTCCCCCCCTTAAGATAATGGAACAGGAATGCTAAATACAGAATTTAGCGAGGGTAAGATAATAAAAGCTATGGGGATTCTTTTAAATGAGAGCAATGGCACATCCATAAAATAGAACCCTGCTGCAGCTCCCAGGAATTAGGTAGATCCATATGCACGATTGTGGAACAATCTCCGAAACATTCCAGTGAGGGGAAAAGCAGAGCATAGATCAGTACATAAGCACAGCTCAGTTTAAGTTTGTAAATACATGTGTGTATATTTGTGTAATTACATGCATGCATTTAATTATACAAAAAAAGATTCGGAAGCACATATACTAAACTGTTTACAGTGCTCTCTGGGAAGGCTAATGGGGTTTGCATTTGGTTGGAGGATAGGGTGTTGAGAGGACTTGCATTTTTCTTTGTATAATTCTATGTATTTCAGTTTTTATAATGAAGACATATTCTTATATTATTTGAAGAATTTAAAATTTAAAAAAAAATAATGACAAGGTAGTTTCATTAATTATTTATAGAGTACTTGACATTAAGGATACAATGGTTTCTGCTCTTATATTGCTTCCAGTGTAACAAGGGAGGAAGATATTAAACAAATCTATATAAATAAATAATCATAAATTGTGGAAGTGCTATAAAGTAAAGCAAATTATTATGAGAAGAAAAATAATTGGGGCAATCTATTTTACATACTGGGGTTAAAGAAGTCCTCTCTGAAATAGTGATATTTCAATTGACATCTAGTAGGATGAAGAATAGTTATCCAAGCCCCAAAAACAAGGGAAGTAAAAGGAAAAATAAATGAGTGAGACTATATCAAATTAAAAAGCTTCTACTCAGCAAAAGAAACCATCAACAAAACAAAGAGGCAGCCAACCTAATAGGAGAAGATATTTGCAAACAATACATCCAATAAGGGGCTAATATCCAAAATATAAATATATAAAGAACTCATTCAACTCAACAACTACAACAACAAAACAATCAAATTAAAAAATGGGTAGAGCTGAAACCGGTTTGGCTCGGTGGATAGAGCGTAGGCCTGCAGACTGAAAGGTCCCAGGTTTGATTCCGGTCAAGGGCATGTACCTGGGTTGCGGGCACATCCTCCATAGGAGATGTGCAGGAGGCAGCTGATCGATGGTTCTCTCTCATCGATGTTTCTAACTCTCTATCTCTCTCCCTTCCTCTCTGTAAAAAATCAATAAAATATATTTTAAAAAAAGAAGAAGAAGAAAGAAAATTTTAAAAAAAATGGGTAGAGACCTGAATAGACACTTTTCCAGGGAAGACATACAGATGGCCAATAGATATATTAGTATTCATAAAGATATGTGTACCCCTATATTCATTATAGCATTATTTATAACTAGAGGCCCAGTGCACGAATTTGAGCATGGGTGGGGTCCAGCCGGCCAACCCCAATGGGGGCCCATCGGGCCAGGCTGGTTGGGGGAGAGGCCGCGGGCAGTTGGCCAGCTGGCCTCACCCCCAATCGGGGTGTTGGAGGCTGATCGGGGGCCAGGCCGGCCCGGGGAAGGCCCAATCGAGGCCCAGATCAGGCTGGTTGGCTGCCACAGGGTACATCATAGCCACTGGTCATTCCAGTCATTCTGGTCATTACGCCGTTCTGGTCTCTGGGCTTTTATATATAGAGATAGCCAGTACATTATAAACAGCCCAAGTGCCCTTCCACAGATGATTGGCTAAAGAAGGTGTGGTACATATATACAATGGAATACCACTCGGCCATAAAAAAAGACAAAATATTGCCATTTGCAACATGGATGGATCTTGAGATTATTATGCTAAGTGAAATAAGTCAGAAGGAAAAGGACAAGAACCATATGGTTTCACTCATGTGGGATATAAGCACCCCTGGGAGGCCCTCTTGCACCGAATGTCCCGTTCTGGCCCTGAGCAGCCATCTCTGTGGGCTCCTTGGGTTCTCTGTTCCCCTGGTCTGATCATTCTCTGTCTGGTTGTGTGTGTTGCAGGTATGAGACATCTCTGTTGGATTTAGTTCAATCTTTGAGCCCAAAGTCTGCTGCTAAACCTCAGCCCCATCCCTGCAGAGAAGCCGGGGCCTGGAATCATAGCACTTGCCGACTCAGTTCTCTAAAATCAACCCGGAAGAAGATGGGGGCAGGCAGGACCCCCGATGACCTACAGGAGAATCAAATTCTGGAAGACATCTTTTTCATTTGACACCGAAGCAGTTGATACAAAATTTCCATAAGCACTTTGTAGGCTTCCTAATATACCGATCTAGGATTTTAAATTTTTAATTGCAAGTAATTGTGTCTCTCCTTTCACAGTGCCCTTTGTCACTAGCATTCTGTTATGTATTGATTATAGAAATCATCCTAACAACCCCAGGGTGTTTTGATCAGACCCATCAGTAGCTAACACATTAAGGGGGGTGGGATGGCGGGCAGTATCTTTTCTATGCCAAGCAGAGATGAGAAAATTCAGCATGGTGGAGGCCATTGCATATGCAGCCTTGCTTCAAGAGTCTTTCCTTCTCAATATTTGCTGGAAAAGGTTGGCTCACTTTTGTACACAAGGAAAACCTATCTACTGAAATATTCCTCCGATTTAAAAGTAGCCCCTTGTAACATAAGCAATTTCAGGCGGACAGACCCTTTTACCTCTTACCCTGTTCTCTCCACACCTACATCTAAGTGTAGTCATTTAATTCTGAAGCTGGAGTTGGTGCACCTGTTATCACAAGCAACACTGAAGGCCAAGTGTGAATCAGGCTCATTGGTCATCAGCCTGGCAGCTGTGCATCCCATGACCAAAAGGGCTCAGTGGGCTAGAGGGAGGGACCCACAAGACCCACCCAACCCCTGGAAACCGGCATGAACTCACACAAGAGTGGCCGCACCAGTGGAGGCAGAAGCCTGAAACACTTTTCCTACCATGCACCAATTTCCCTGGATGGATAAGAGTAATCTCTCGGTATTTTGTTGATCCAAGTGTCCCATGGTTGTGTCTGGAGAAGATACCACTGGAGGGACAGTAGCCTCAGTTCCTGCAGGCTGATAGGCTTTCTCCGGCCCTCCCTCTCTTTCATGAGGATCCAAAACCCTGGCTGCCCAGGGCTAATGTCCCATGCCTCCAAAGAGCCACCTCTACTCACCCGGTTATGCTCCACCACCCCAAGCAGAGCCTCCCCATTTCCCACTGGACCTCCCTTGACCCAGGGAAAGCCTGTCCAGCAGAGCTCTGAGCTCCATCCTTCAACTTACTATGGCTCAGCGGCCTCTCAGGCTGCTGGCTGGGTGATGACTGCACAGAGCCAGTGAGTTTAACCCTTTCCAGGCACTGGAACAAGGTGAAGATGTGTCCCCCGGTGTGTATTACTGCATAACTGTTTGACCTGGACAGTGTTGCTTTTCTCTCCCTCTCACCAACCCCAGGCTTGAACTAGGAGCAAGACTCCATCATTTGGAATTGGTAGGCAGGTCAGACCCCCCGGGGCAGCTGCACTTAGTGAGCCTGCATGGCTTCCCTGAATTCTCCATCAAAATAGATGATTTCAGCCTACAAAGCCTTGAGCAGCCTCCCTGCCTGGACAGATCTAAATCGCACTGTCTCTCAGGCTGAGCCCGTCACCTCCCACACCTTCCTTTACTCGGGTCTCTTGTGCTTCGGAGCCTCCCAACACCATATTCTTGATCCACAGTAAATACAAGGTCAGGACTGAGTTGGAGCCATTCACTTGAAAAGTTTAAAAATCCTTGCCGACTACAATGTCCTTTTCAAGTTCACCCCCGTGAGAGTCGCCGAGTCAATGTCATCCTATTTCAGAAAGCGTGTGGAAAATGAGTGGCCATTTTCTTAGTTATGTTTGCAGACCATATATTCTCGCTCCATGTGTTATGACCACCTAAGTGCACCCAACTCCCAGGGGTCATCCAGACCACACTCCTCCCTTCCGGCCACCAGTGGCCTCCACCCTCCAGGGTCAGTGGATGCCAGAAGGACCGAAAAGAAAACTGTGGCTTCTTTAAGAAGCTTGTTTGCCTTTAGAAGAGTCATAAGTGAGATCTAAACTGAAGGCTTTGGGCGTCACATGCCACAGAATGGAATTTGTTTCTTTACCTCCCCTTAATGAGCAACTTGGAAGAGCAAAGATTGATTTCCAGCAGAGTATCAATGAACATTTTTCATATGCCACCTTCCCTACCATGTGTATCCATCCTGTGGGCATTTCCTGGGTGTCAGTGAGATGTGAATTTGTACCTAATCTAATGTTTAAATCATTATGAATTGAACCCTGGCACATAGGAATCTGCCTTTTCGTTTCTGTGAAGTGACTATTCGGGATTTGCTTGCCCAGCTTCTAGCCAATCCCCCAAAACAAGACTGGACACGTGCCCTAGTCGGTTTGGCTCAGTGGATAGAGCGTCAGCCTGCAGACTGAAGGTCCCGGGTTCAATTCCAGTCAAGGGCACATGCCCAGGTTGCGGGCTCAATCTCCCATAAGTCATTGATGTTTCTATATCTCCCTCTCCCTTCCTCTCTGAAATAAATAAAAATATTTAAGAATAAAAATATTTTAAAATAAAAAGGGGGGAAGACTGGACATATATTGGAAGTGCTGTTGGTAGTGCTACGACATTACCCCCCAGCCCCCCGTACCCACCATTCTGCGAGAGAAAAGCCAATGTTTGCAAAATGGAAAAGGGCAAAGTATGTCCATTGGAGCTCCAGAAGTAGAGCCAAGTGCTTGATTTAGAAAGCCCAGGCCAATCAAGGAGATGTTTTTGCCAACAGTCACCCTCCCAGGGGCACACTTGTGTTTCCAAGCCCAGATGTCATGGGGAGGGAGGGACAGGCTAAAGGAGCAGAGCTGGATGAATCCCACAGTCACTAGGGTGTTGGGGGCTCTGCACACTCCCTCCAGCGCACACCTTCTCCCCAGCTAGGTGTGCATTATTTTTAATGTGGGCAACTGTTTATATATGTGTGAGATTTTAAGTTAATAAATTACCTCCATGGCCATTGTCCCCGTGTGGTTTTGATATTGAATTATCCCTCATCAGATCAGTGGACACAGCTTGTAAGTAAGAGCAGAGCCCCAGGTCACCCGAATATCCTTTCCCTCAGTACTTGCTAAAGCAACGGGAGCTGTGGGCCACTGAGAGAAAGGACATGGTCACCACATCCTAACAGGTGGCCTTGGTCAACTCCAGCTCACGCCCATCACATGGACACCCCGCCTTTTCTGTCTCCGCTCTTTCAGACAGAAAAATGGTCCCGCCTAGTTGGCTCTAGGTGCTGGGAGAATGTGGGCGAGGGCTTGAGTGCGGAAATGCCCAGTTCTGAGGTCACACCTGTGGCAGCCAGAGACCCATCCTGCCCGTTTCCCAAGCAGCCTGCACCTTCACCTGAACAAGGAGACGGCAGCTGCCCCTCAGAGGCAGAGGTGGCAAGAGTAGAACCATCATGCAACCAGCTCCCAAACGGAAAATGAAATGTTTGGCCCCGATTGTCAGAAGGTCACCCTGAGCCTAGGAACAAAGCTGGGAATGAGTGGGGTGAGGGTGACACCCTAGTCCTCAGGGGGAGGGAAGGACTGACCCCGCAGCCAGAGAAACAGTTTTACAAGTTACTGGTCATGGTTTCTCAGAGTTGCGGTTCAAGGTAGGCTGCCGAAGCCCCTGGGGTTCCTTTGTTCCACTCGGAAGTGGGACCTTCTAGCCCCTCAAGCTTCAGCTTCGCAGCGATGCTCCCTGCCTGCCTCCTCCACACACACTGAGAACTGAGTGAGCACCCAGAAAATGCACACCCCTACCCCTACCCCAACCCCATCCCCCTCCAGAGCCACAGAGTTCCACGGATGGGCTGGACCATATGGCCCATACAATCCACCACTTTCCTTCCACAGATGAAGAAAGTCCCGGGCAATGTGACTTGTGAGCTCCCGCGTCCTGTCAGTGGCAGGTCTGGCTGCTGAGCCTCTACCTCCCCATGAAAGCACATCACTGCCTCGGTCTGGTGTGTTCCCAGGTGAATGGTTTTTAGAATCTCAACTTGGACTGAACATGCCACTACCATCTCAGAAGTACAGGCCACTTGGCCAAGGTGAGCACACACTTAGCAAGTCCTCTACTTGGCACCACCACACAGATAATGGCCCGAGGCCCAGGTAGGCCACCTGTTCTGCAGGTATAAACTGGTTCTCTCCCTCATCCTTTCCTTCCCCACCCTTCAGCCCTTTGCATTCTGAGGTGGGTTGGTCTGGTGCTGGGCTGAGGGCCTAGAGGAGGGGAAGGTTGCTCCCGGCTCCTTGTCTCTGCCAGTTGGATGGGATGAACTTCGCAGCCCAGTTTTGGGCTTTCTCTTCCCCCCGCCCCCACCCACTGGAGGTGATTTAAGTCTGTTGGATTTATACAACATTGGGAAACGGTAAACTGTGTAAATTTGCTGTGTTTCCAGGGACAGTTATTTATGGAGGGGCATTCTTAACTCAAGTGCAGAAGTGTTAAATCATTATAATAAATTCACGCTATTCAGACTTTCTTACATTGTAATAAATTTTTTCTAAGCATGAATGAGGAGATATTCCTCTAATATACCATTATGTATTTCTTCTCAAAATGACACAGCTTACTATATCAACTTGGAGAATAACAGAAGGAGATTTACTGCGTTGGAGGAAAAATAGTTGAGTAGCAGTGAATCTGAGAAAGGACTTGGGAGCACTGACCCCAACAGAGCTTTCCTACCCCCGGGAGGAGCAGCAGGTGCACCCACTGCAGCGGGGAGGATGGCTGGGCTGCAGCCCTGAAATCGCCCAGCTGAGCTTCGGAAGAACCTTCGAGCAGGGAAATGGGGCTAGGGATCAAGCGGCCTCTGTGGGGTCCCGTCCAGGAGGAGGTGTCCGAGTGGGGCTCTATCAGAAAAGAAAGCTCTCTCTCCCATGTGAAATCCTTTCTAAAGCTTCCGGCTGGCTGAGCAGCTGTCCTCTCTCATCACCTGTCTCAGCTTGCTCGCTGGATGCTCACTTGGACCAGAGGATTCGTAGCTTTCACCAGATTCTCAAAAGAACCTGTAGTCCGCAGAGGTCAGGAATCACTGGTATCCAGTAAAACCTGAAGCATTGGACTGTCCACTCTGCACTAGGCAGCCCCCCGACACAGGGCCCGGCTCCTGCAGCTGGAACTGGGGCTGCAGTGGAGCTCTCAGGGTCAGGGCACCACCCCGAGGGGGATCACCCAAAATTTCCCCAGAGGATGGGACATTTGAGCTGGGCAAAGGCCTGGAGACGGAGCTCCAGGGAGAGCACTTAGGGCAGACTTGGAGGAGCCGTGGGGCCCAGTGGAAAGAGACCTGCATGGGTTCCGGGACTCGGCAACTGTTTATAGTTTCCCTCGTGCTCCGTCAGAGGCTTAGGTTCAAGTCCTGACTCTGCCACCATAGCTGTGTGACCCTGTGCAGGGCTCTGCACCCGTGCACCCTCGGTGCCTCTGTCTGCAAAACGCAGAGAGCACACGTGGGCACCCCTGCCTTGCCGGGCTCAGTCCACATGTGGGGCGATGAAGGGAGGCTCATGCACCTGCTGGGCAAACAGCTACAAAGCACTTTAAATACATCAGGTGCGTTTATCATTAACCTGAAGGCTGGCAAGGGGCAGTGGGCCCCTCAGAAGCATGGAGGGCTGGGGAGTTTATGACAGCCAGGCAAAGCTCGGCCTGGCAGCTCCCAGCCATTGCTGCCAATCGCTTCATGTCACCTCCTCAGGTGGCGTTCCCAGTGCCCTTCGTGGCCTCCAGCAGGACACCCCATGGCACCTCTGCCCAGTTTCAGAGTGTCATTTACTTCCGTTTCTCCCGCCAGCCTGGCTGCCTTCCCAGGAGTTGAGAGCCATAGCCTCATCCCCTGGGCCAGATCCTGGCAGCCTCTGCCTGCACAGCCCGACTCTCCAGGCCCCAGCCTTAGGACTGTCAGGTATAAACAAGGCCAAGAGCTGTTCTGGAGAGGGGACCCTGAGCTGTGGCCCACCTGCCCCATAAGGGTCCTGTGGGTCACTCACCACCCTTCCTTCTCCCCGTCCCCTCCCCAGTCTCCACTCTCCACCTCTAGTATTTTCTAATCTGTTCCTTCTCTCCTCAGGACTGAAGATGATCTTGTTTGGCTGGGCAGGCTGTTCCTGGGAGGGGAGTGGGGGCAGGCACCCCCGGGAGCCAGGGCCAGGGGCCATCTCACTGAAGGGCTGCAGACAGCCTCCTCACACTGCCCATGGCACCCACTTCTCATGTCCATGCTGGGGGGTTTCTCCTTTCAGGTTCCCAGCGCTTTCCAGGGAGGGGGGGGGGGGGGGGGGGGCCTCTCCCTCC